CTCTCGGGGCCTCGTCGCGTGCCCCCCGGGGGGGGGCTTGTCGCGGCCTCCGCCGCGCGAGCTCCGTCGTGCCCCGACGAGGGCCCCAAGACTGACCCAGCCTCGAACTGATCCCTAGCCTCGAACTCCTCCTCCTCCTCCTCCTCGCCCTCCCTCTCCTCCTCCTCCTCCTCCTCCTCCTCCTCCTCCTCCTCCTCCTCCTCCTCCTCCTCCTCCTCCTCCTCCTCCTCCTCCTCCTCCTCCTCCCTGAGAGTCCCCCGAGGTCGCCAGTACTAGGGAGCCCACACAGGACGTACGCGCCCAGCTGTGTACATGAACACGGCCCCTCGATCCGCGAGGCTGGCCGCCTTATATATACGAGCATCTGCGCAATGCGTACTCTCGAAACCGGCGTGGATTCATGCACGTGTGCGTCCTTCTTTCGCTCCTGAAGATGGGCGAGCACAAAGCGAGGACAATCTTAGGGATAGGCCCTCAGAAACGGATGGGAATCCTTCAGATCGGCATCGAGGTGAGGTGATGTCAAACATAGGGATAGGGATATGTTTCAAACTGGTAAAAGACGGGCCAAGAGGGCCCCAAGAGGCCCCCAAGACGGACCAAGAGAAGCCCGAGACGCCGAAAGATCGCCCCGAGACGCCAAATCTGGTCCCAAAACGGCCGAAGAGGCCGCCTAGGCGCCCCAAGAGGCCTGCAAGAGGCATCCCAGGAGGGCCCCAAGCGGCCAAAATCAGTGATTTCAAATTGTTTTTGAACAGATTCTGGCGTTGTCGCCATTTCGGATTCCCGACGCTCGCAGACGGCCCTAGTGACTCCCAAGACTGGCCTAAGACGGCCCAAGAGGCCTCCAAGAGAGCCCCAAAACGGCCCAAGAAGGCCCCAAGATAGGCCAATAGACAATAGACGCCCAAAACTGCCCAAGAGGGCCCCAAGAGGGCCCCCAAAGAAGCCCAGACGAGGGAGCACACACCGAAAAAGCGGGTCTTCCGCCCCAAGAAGGCCCCAGGAGGCGCCCAGGACGCCCAGGCCCGGAGAGGCCCCCGAGAGGCCCCCCCAAAGCCCCCCAAAAGGCCCCAAATCAATCAAAAGCCATACGCTGAGGTCGGGCGTGTCCCCCTCCAGGCGGACTTCGGACAAAAAAAATGTTAAAAAGCACTCCAAAAAGAATCAAAAATAGCCGAGCATTCATCCACCAATCGTCCCCAGACCATTTGTTGACTGTTTTTGCATGTTCCTCCTGGTGAGGGACAGGCCCGACGTATGCCTACGCCGGAGCGCGTGGGCGAGAAGAAACGATGCCGGCCTCTCCCCTCCGCGTTGCGGGAGCAGCGGCACGCCGACCGGTTGTCTGGCGACAGCGCGTGCGGGCGGAGGGGGAGGGGAGCGGAGCGGCGGGGAAGAGCGGGCAAGGGGGCTGCGCCAGCTCACACAAGCCACAGATCACCCAAACAGTGCGGATCTGCATTTCCAAGTTCTTTTACTCTCTCCATTTTGAAGCGTCGCGCAGGCACTCCAAGAATTCATCGGGGATCTTCTGACCCGGGTCAATCCAGACCCGGGTCAGCAGAAAACAAAAAACTGCAATGCAGGAAAAAAAACTGCAACGCAGGTCTTCGCAAACCCGGGGCAGCCAATATGCGCGGCCGCCTCGCGGCCACGAGCGGCTCGCTAACCCGGGTCAGCCAGAGGGGGTCTTCGCAGGATCCTGCAGGATCCGGTGCCCTGGCTGACCCCCGTTTGCACTGACCCCCGTCTCTTAGGCCCCGAAGTTCCCCTGTTGTGTTGAAACCAGCCAAAGAGGCCCCCAAGAGACCCAAAGGAGGCCCCAAGAGATCCCCAAACGGCTCCCAATAGGCGTCCAAACTGCCTCCAAGAGGCCCCCGAGAAGCTTCCCACGAGATCCCAACGAACATCCAATAAGCTTCATACCCACAACCAGGCACGGTGGCGGGATGGGCCGACGGCCCGTCTCCTCCACTGCCTCTTCCGCCTCATCCTCAAAATCCTCGTCATTCCCCTCCTCCCCCTCGTCCTCGTCCTCGTCCTCGTCCTCGTCGTCGTCGTCGTCCTCCTCCTCCCATATTACCTCCTCCTCCTCCTCCTCCTCCTCTCCTCCTCCTCCTCCTCCTCTCATCATCATCATCATCATCATCATCATCATCATCATCATCATCATCATCATCATCATCATCATCATCATCATCATCACCATCCTGTCGAGCCCGCTGTGCTGCTGGAGGATGAGGGGAGGGAGGGAATGCGGAGGGGGGCAACGGGGTAGGATAACGGGAAGGAGCTGCAAACCATGAGTAGCAGCACAGGGCGCAGGATGAACGGGAGGAGCTGGACCAGAGGGGGCAGTAGGGAGGATGGTGAGGAGGAGGAGAGGAGGAGGAGGAGGAGGAGGAGGAGGAGGAGGAGGAGGAGAGAGAGAGAGAGAGAGAGAGAGCCGGAGGAGAAGGAGGAGGAGGAGGAGAAGGAGGAAGGGAGGATGAAGAAGGGCAGCAGCAGCAGCAGCAGCAGCAGCCGCGCCAACACCGGAGGAGGAAGAGGGGATGAGAAAGGGGCAGGAAGTGGAGAGGGATGCGCTGGAGGAGGAGCAGCAAGAAGCAGCAGGGGCAGAGCGAAGGAGGAGGATTGAGAGGAGAAGGTCGAGGCCGAGGAGGAGAGACATAGCATCTCCCACCTCCTCCTCCTCCTCCTCCTCCTCCCTGGCATGCTCCCTCCCCAGACCCCCTCGCGTGGCGAAAAAATTACGACGCGAGGATTTTCTTCATTTTCGGCCTCCGGGGGCCCTCACCGGGCCTCGGGGCCGTCGAAAAACGACTCGGGATGAAAAACCGGTCTCGAGGAAGGGGTCCAGACTTCTGGGGGTCGACGTTGTGAAAAGTCACGACGTCGGGGGTCTGGGTCTTGCCTGATCATTACTGCTACTGTTCCTGATCTGTTCTGCCAGCGGCGACATGGCCGTGTTCATCTTGATGAAGTCCATGAGCTTGTCTGGCTTGTACTTGGCGAACAAGATGCCTGACGCGACGCCGCCAGCCAGTAGAGCGTATGGGGGCGAGACGTCCAGCCACAGGCAGGAAGGGGAGGGGAGAAGACCTCCTGTCAAAGAGGATCAGCGGGGAGCGAGAGACGGCTGCACTCGAAGGGGGAAGGCGCAGCAGACTCACACGATGGGAAAGCCTGCTACAGGAATTGCCTAGGGCACAATTGTTGTCGTCGTCGTCGTCGCCGTCGTCGTCGTCGTCGTCGACGTCACCGTCGTCGTCGTCGTCGTCGTCGTCGTCGTCGTCGTCGTCGTCGTCGTCGTCGTCGTCGTCGTCGTGGTCGTCGTCGTCTCCAGTCGTCGTCGAGGTCGTGGTCGTGGTCGTGGTCGTGGTCGTGGTCGTGGTCGTGGTCGTGGTCGTGGTCGTGGTCGTGGTCGTGGTCGTGGTCGTGGTCGTGGTCGTGGTCGTCGTCGTCGTCGTCGTCGTCGTCGTCGTTATTTGAGGGCCCTGAGGTGCCCCAGGGGCCTCTGTCGGTCTCTGGGGGCCGCGGGGGGAATGGAGGAGGAGGAAGGGCAGGAGGAGAAGGAGGAGGAGGAGGAGGAGGAAAAGGGGGAGGAGGAGGAGGGGAGGAGAGGAGGAGGAGGAGGAGGAGGAGGAGGAGGAGGGGAGGAGGAGGGAGAGGAGGAGGGAGGAGGAGGAGGAGGAGGAGGAGGAGGAGGAGGAGGAGGGGAGGAGCAGGCGAGGGGGAGGAGGGCGAGGAGGAGGAGGAGGAGGGGCGAGGAGGGAGGAGGGGCGAGGATGAGGAGGAGGAGGAGGAGGAGGAGGAGGAGGAGGAGGGACGATGAGGAGGAGGAGGAGGAGGAGGAGGGGCGAGGAGGAGGAGGAGGAGGAGGAGGATGAATGAGAGATCTGGGCGGGACACCTGCTGGCAGGCCGATCTGTCGAATAGAGCGCCTACTGTTGAGTCGGGCACGTCCTCCTACAGGCGGGTCTGAGAGGACAGATTTTGACTAGTCAAGTCATGCTCGAACGTGGGCAAACATAACCCGAGAATCGTCCCCAGACTATTCTTGGACTATTTTTGAATATTCCTCCCGTAAGATAGAGGGCCTACTGGTAAGTCGGGCACGTCCTCCTACAGGCGGGATTGGGAGGACAGACTTTGAATAGTCAAACCATGCTCAAACGTGGGCAAAGGCAACCCGAAAATCGTCCCCTGACTTTTCTTTGGCTATTTGTTCGAGTTCTCCTCCCGTAGAGGGACACGCCCGACTTGACCCTGCGTTGCAAAGAGGGGCGCGGGGCGAGGCGGAGGAGGAGGGGAGGGGAGGGGGGGGGGCATGGCGACCTCCGTCCCCGACTTCTGCGAGCGAGCCTGTCGACCAGACCCAAGAAATGAGTAGCCCAACACAGGTACAGATGCCATGGGGGGAGAGGGGGGGCATCTTCGACAGGGATGCGACCGACCAGTCCCCTGTGTTAGATGCTCGTTCTGGGGACAATCCTTGAGCCACTCGCTCCACTCGTGCGTCGAAGCTGCGTCGAACCCAAGTCGAACCTGCGTCGAACCTGAGTCCAACCTGAGTCGAACCTGAGTCGAATCTGAGTCGAACTTGAGTCGAACTTGAGTCGAACCTGAGTCGAACCTGAGTCCAACAGATCCGTCAGGTGGGCCGCAGGAAGGTCCCCAGAACGAGCATCGAACCTGTGCGTGCATCCCCGAGTTCCCACTCTCTGCTGAGCGGCCTGATTTTGGTGGGGGGGGAGAACTTGGGGACCAGGGGCGAGAAGCCGCCTGCGAAGGAGAGGAGAGGAGGGGGGAGGAGCAGCAGTAGCGCATCGCTGCGCAGGCGGATCGCCGAGGGCGGAGGCGGAAGCGGAGGGATGTGCGGACTCCATCGCAGGCACTGCACCGCAAACGTTCCACCGGCAGCTCTCGTGCACGGGCCAGCAGCTGCAGCATCGCCGCGGGAAGGGCACGACAGAGAGAGAGGAACGGGGTGCCGCGAGGGAGGAGCAAGACCAGGAGGAGAAGGAGCTGAAGAGGAGGAGGAAGAGGAGGAAGAGGAGGAAGAGGAGGATGAGGACGAGGAGGAAGAGGAGGAAGAGGAGGAGAAGGAGTTGAAGAGGACGAGGAGGACGAGGAGGAGGAGGAGGATGTGGAGATGGAAGGGGAGGAAAGAAGAAGAGGAGGACGGGGGGAAGCAGAAGAAGTGGAGCCAATGGACAAAAAAACGCTTCGGGATGCCAGGTCGTTCTTGGCATCGCTGCCGCTGGAAGTGCGCGCGTGGATGCTTGTGTTCCTTGCCAGCAAGTGACTTTGAGTCGGGCGTGTCCCCCCACAAGGGAATTTTGGACGGGAAATGCAGCATGCCCCAGAAATGCTAGAAAACAAAATGCTCAAACAATCATCCTCAGACTATGTTTTGACTATCTTAAAATATTCCTCCTGCGGAGGGACGTGCCCGCGTCGAAGGTAACGTTAAGTCGTGCCTGTCCCCCTACAGGCCGCTTTTGAACGAAGAATAAGGAATAGTAAAAACAAATAACTTCAGAATGGCCAAACATGCTCAAACAATCGTCCCCAGACTATGTCTTGACTACCTTGGAATTTTCCTCCCGCAGAGACACGGGCCCGACTCGAAAGGAACTTTAAGTAGGGCCTGTCCCCCTACAGGTCGGTTTTGAACGAAAAACGAGAAATCGGCAAAAAAACACACCAAAATTACCAAAAATGCTCAAACAATCGTCCCCAGACTATGTCTTGACTATCTAAGAATATTCCTCCTGCAGAGGGACGGGCCCGACTCGAAAGTAACTGTAAGTCGGGCCTGTCCCCCTACAGGCCGATGGACGAAAAATCAGAAATCGGCAAAACATACCCCAACATGGCCAAAAATGCTCAAACAATCGTCCCCAGACTATGTCTTGACTACCTTGGGAATATTCCTTCTGCAGAGGCACGGGCCCGACTCGAGAGTAACTTCAAGTCGGGCCTGTCCCCCTACATACAGGACGATTTTTGACGAAAAATACAAAATCGGCAAACATACCCCAAAATAGCCAAAAATGCTCAAACAATCGTCCCCAGACTATCTTCTTACTACCTTGGAAATATTCCTCCTGCAGAGGGACTTGCCCGCCTCGAAAGTAACTTTAAGTCGTGCCTGTCCCCCTACAGGCCGATTTTGAACGTTTAAAAAAACCAGACTGGCCAAAACATGCTCAAACAATCGTCCCCAGACTATGTTCTGACTATCTGGAATATTCCTCCTGCAGAGGGACGGGCCCGACTCGAAGGTAACTTTATGTCGGGCCTGCCCCCCTACAGGCCGATTTTGGAGGAAAAATAAAACATCGTCAAACAAACTCCAAAATTGCCAAAACATGCTCAAAGAATAGTCCCCAGACTATGTTTTGACTATCTTGGGAATACTCCTCCTGTAGAGGGACGGGCCCGCCTCGAAAGTAACTTTAAATCGGGCCTGTCCCCCCACAGGCCGATTTTGGAAGAAAAATAAATAAAATTGTCAAACAATACCCCAGAATGGCCAAGAATGCTCAAAACATCGTCCCCAGACAATGTCTTGACTATCTTGGGAATTTTCCTCCCGCAGAGGGACGGGCCCGCCTCGAAAGTACCTTTAAGTCCGGCGTGTCCCCCTACAGGGAGATTTTCGACGAAACATTTTTTAAACAAAAAAAACCAAACTGCCCCAAAATGGGTAAAAAATACTTTAAAATAGTCCCTGGACTATTTTTTTTTTTTATTTTTGGCTACTCCTCCTGCAGGGGGACGGGCCCGCCTCGAACGTGCCTCGCCGGCGCAGCCCGGCCTCCGGCCAGCGCGCGTGCCCGCCTGCGGGCGCGCCTCGCGGGCCTGTCCCCCTGCAGGGGGATTTTGGACGAAAATCCAAAAATACCCCAAAAATACTCAAAAGATGCCTAGTAAAGACAAAATGCAAAATACCACAAAAAATACAAAATACACCCCAAAAGTAATCCCCAGACTATGTTTTGACGACTACAGGGGGATTTTGGACGAAAATCACAAAATACCCTAAAAATACTGAAAAGACCCAGACTAAATTTGAGACTCAAAATGCGAAAAAGATGCTCAAAAATACTCGAAATACTAATACATACCCAAATGCCAAAATTACAAATACCCCAAAGATATTCAAAATATTAAAAAGATACCCAAATATACAAAAAGTCCCCAGACTATGTTTGGACTACATTTGAATATTCCCACTGTAGAGGGACGGGCCCGACTGAAGCCTAGGCGGCGTTTTTCGCTTTCGGTCTGTTTTCGTTCTCCTCCGTTTCATCTTCAATCCGCAAGTACAGGGCCTCGTTACAGGTCGTTAGCTGCCTCGATACGCAACACGCAACACGTAATCGTATTGATACGGAGCTCAACACGTGCGCTGGACGCGCAGGTCTGACGCGATACGTTCGCCAAAACGTGGGCCAATACGTGGAGCCAACACGCAGCGTATTGACACGGACGTTTTGAACACGGCACGTGTTGCGTATCAAAACGGGCGTACCGAGGCAGCTAAGTACAGGGCTGCACCTTAGCGGCGCTGTTCGTTTTCGTTTTCGTTTTCGCTTTCCTTCGTTTTGTCTTCAAGCCGCCTTCACCGCAAAACGAAGTCGGAACGAAAACGGCCCGCGAAATCGCAAAACAACCGTTCAGGTCCAGCCCTGCCTCGTTAGAAAAAGAAATGCCACATGGACATAAACTTTTGGCGCTCCGCGCGGATTTCTCGGATCCGCGCCGGATCCCCCTCCCTGGCCCGCCAGGGGGGGGCCCAGCGCGGATCCAAGAAATCCGCGCGGAGCGCCAAAAATCCATGTTCATGTGGTTTTTTCTTCTCTGACTCGTGGGCGCCTCGTGTGCTGACTGGCGTTAGGTCGGGCGTGTCCACCTACAGGCGGAGTTTTGGCGACAAATTGAAAATACTTTTTTAAAAATAGCCCCAACGAGTCAACAAAAATAATCAAAAAATCGTCCCTTGACTATTTTTTGCACTTTTTGAATTTGCCTCCTCAAGACCTGGAGGAAGACCTCAAGATCTGCGTGACGATCCGGGAGGAGATCTGGGTGAAGATCTGCGGGGAGATCAAGGGAAACATCTGGGGGGAAAATCTGGGTGAAGATCTGGAGTTTGGAAGACAATCTGGAAACAAATCTGGGGGAAGATAACCGTGACCATCTTTTAAGCCAGGTTTTCGAGTATCACTCGCACGATGACGGCAGGGCACCAAAGAAAACAATCAATTCTAAACACATGATCTTAGAGTGGGTCCGCGAGACTGAGTCCGGGCATGCCGTCCTTATTTTTGAACTCCCCAAGTACAGGAATCCGTATTTTTTGTTCGTTTTTTTCAGTTTTTTATTTTTTGCTGTTTTGTTTCATGTTTTGTTTGTTTCTTCTTTTTTTCACTGCCCCCCCTCTCGCTGTACTAAAATTGTGGGGTGGGGGGAAATGTGCCATTTTTCGTTCGTATTAAAATGCAATGCGACATCTCCTTCCCCTGAGGCCCCCCTCATAGAAAAGGAAAATCGATCTGCACTTTTTAGGGGGAAAACGAACCTACCTCGCTTTTGACCACCCTCGCTTCCAAGAGATACCAAGCGATGCCAAACTACGGCCTGTAGTGGTCAGGTCGCTCGACGAGGAGGCGCGTGGTATGACTTGGTTTTTCCTGGAAGCGAAAGCGGGGTAGGTAATTCACGCTCTGACTTTTGTAATTTACCTCAGGGGGACACGCCCCACTCGACGCTGCTGGGCTTGCGGGGCGGTGCCGGCTCGTGGGCTCCCCGTGGGCGCCTCGTGCTGGGGCTGGAGGAGTTGGAGGAGGAGGAGGAGGAGGAGGAGGAGGAGGAGATGGAGGAAAATGGAGGAGGAGGAGGAGGAGGAGGAGGAGGAGGAGGAGGAGGAGGAGGAGGATGGAGGAGGAGGAGGAGGAGGAGGAGGAGGAGGAGGAGGAGGAGGAGGCCCCCGAGGCCGCCCCGCGGGGCTGGCGCTCTGCGGGGCTTTCGCCGCCGGGTGCCAGCCCGCGGGCGCCGCGCGGGCGCCCCATCGTGCGCGGGCGGGCCCTGCCGGAGGCACGCGCAGGCTGCACCGCGCGGTGCGAGCTTTGGGTCGGGCACGTCCCCCTATCCAGGGGGATTTTGGGCGAAGGAATTATAAAGATACCCCAGGCATATCAACAAGTTAGTTGTCAAAAAGGCTGCTAGAAAAAGGGTCCCCAGACTATGCTTGGACCATTTTTGGGTATTCCTCCTGTAGAGGGACACGCCCGACGTAAAGGTTGCACCACGTGGCTGCAACCACGCAGACTGCCTGGCAGCCGCGCAGGCTGCACCGCACGGGTGGCAAAAAGCAGGCCGCAGCACGCAGGCTGGTTGCACATCGAACTGGCTGCGCCACTCACAGTGAGTGAGGTTGCCACGCGCAGTGAGGCTGCACCATGCACAGACTGCCGCAGAAACGTCGCACTCCTGGAATGCAAGCAGTCCGTGCTCGCGGCCCCGTGTCGGGATCCACACAAAAATGGGGTGACCCTGAGAGGGGGGCATGAGTCCGATCCTTTGGTGCACCGATCACTGTCGCGAACAGATGCCCTCGCATGCCCCACCTTATCGGCAACTATCGGGAGCTGCCGGCGGCTGGGGGGGCATCTGTTTTGGGCGGTGCGGTGCAAACACCGATCGAACTCACACACACCCCGGGGCCCCCACCATTTGCGGGATCCCGACCTTGTGGATGCTGATAAGACTTGGGAAAAGCGCGGGCGGCCAGGGTTCCCAGGTCCCCAGGCTCCCAGTACGCAGGAAGAACAACGGCAAATACAGAAACTTGTTAAGTTCTGCGCGGATTTCTTGAATCGGCGCTGAACCCCACTTCCTGGCGCGCTCCGCGCGCCAGGGGCGGCGCGCGCCAAAGGCGGCGCTGGAGGCGCCGCCGGTGGGGCCCAGCGCCGAACCAAGAAACCCGCGCGGAGCTGACCAAGTTTATGTACATGCCGTTGTTCCCCAATCAGTGCTTGCACTTAAGGGGTCCCAGCGGAAGTTGAGAGATTTGGCGAAAGTCTCCCGCCGATTTTGGTAGCAGGCTGGGTTCCCGGGTTCCCGATTCCCGGGTTCCCGGTTATTAGTTCCTGGCCGATTAATTCGGTGGGTTCTGGGTTCCCAGGCTCCCGGGTTCCCGGTCGATCTCCTTAGCGAAAACCATCCAATGATTGGGGTTTTCTCTGGTGTAAGATCTTCTTCAGCAGTAGCTGGGTCTTGCTGAAAGTGCCCCGCAGATTTCGATGGGCGGCCATGCTCCCTGGTTCCCATCAGCTCTCGGTGCAGGCCCGTGGCGTGGGCCAGACGACGAGGAGGACTAGAACGGGGGGGGGATGGGGAAGAGGGGGACAAGGGGGATGAGGAGGGGAGGGGGGAAGGGAAACGAGGCGGAGGCGGAGGCGGAGGAGGAGGACAATGACGATAATAATGACGATGATGTTGGCGATGATGATGGTGATGGTGGTGACGATGATAGCGAGGAAGCGCCCCCCAGTGTGCTGTTCCCCAGGCGGAGAAGGAGGAAGAGGAGGAGGGAGGATGGAGTTGGAAGAGGAGGGAGGGGAGAGAGAGGGAGAGAGGTAGGGAGGGGAGGGGAGGAGAGGGGAGAGGAGGACGACGAGGAGGACGAGGGGTGGGGGGAGGGGAGAGGGCGGGGAGCGGCAGCAGCAGAGCAGCCCGCGGCGCGCCGAGCTCGGTGTACATGCCGGCGTGCGCGCGCTCCTGGGACAGGCCGGCGTCGAGCAGGCTGATCAGCTCCTCGAAGTAGCCGTGCTGCTCGTAGTGCGCGATCAGCTCCTGAGCTGGTGCCAGGCAGCGGGCGGGCCGGGAGCCCATGGGTGCGGTGCCAGGGGGGGGCAGGGCGCAGACGGATCGGGAGGAGGAGAAGGGGGAGCAAGGAGGGAGGGAGAGAGGGAGGGGGGGGTGGGGGGAGGGAAGAGGGGGGGGTCAGGAGGAGATGAACGACGACGACGAGGAGGAGGACGACGACGTGGACGAGGACGACGACGGAGGAAGAGTAGGAGGAGGAGGAGGAGGAGGACGAGTAGGAAGATAAGGAGGAGCGATCGGGGCCCCTGCCGAATGCTGCGCGCCTAGAGGCGCGCCATCGGGGCCAGCGCTGCAACAGAGCGCCCAGCGCGCCCATCGCAATCGGGGTTAACTCCCCGCTCAGATGACTAGTCGTGCGTTTGCGGGCACCGTCTTCTGCGCTGGAGGCGCACGCGGGCTAGAATGCACTAGAATCCTTCTTCGTTTGCTCCTCCTCCTCCTCCTCCTCCTTCTCCTCCTCCTCCTCCTCCTCCTCCTCCTCCTCCTCCTCCTCCTCCATCCCCTTCTTGCCCCTACTCCTCCTCGTCGTCGTCGTCCGTCCGTCCGTCCGTCCGTCCGTCCGTCAGTCCGTGTCGTCGTCGTCGTCGTCGTCGTCGTCGTCGTCCTTCTCCTCCTACTCCTCCTCCTCCACCTCCTCCTCCTGCTGAAAGAAGAAAAGGAGAGGACAGAGGCAGGCCAGAAAGCAAAAGCAGGGGGGGAGAACCAGTCCTCGCGCCCCTCTGCCGACCACCAAACAGCGCTGCTGGGGGGGGAGGGGAGGAGAGGCGAAGGAAGAGGAGCAGGACGAGAGGGGGCTTCGTCGCTGGGCCCGCCGACCCTGCCGGGCACGCAGGCCAGCGGCACCTCCTCCTCCTCCTCCTCCTCCTCCTCCTCCTCCTCCTCCTTATCGTCGTGATCCTACTGCAGTTGCTCCCCGTTCTGCAGTTGTCCATTATTATTATCCTCCTCCTTTTTTGGCAGCAACGCACATGCCCCTGAAATGTTTGACCTGTCCTCATCTGCCAGAGGCGCACTGGCTGGGCAGGTTGAACTGCCTGTAAACTATAACAATGGGATGACTTCGTCAATGTCAACAGACACACCCTCCTTATCAGGGTGCAGGCCTCTGCGGAGACGGCGCATGTTCTTCACGCCCGTCTTCGTCGACGGCACGGATTTGCGGCCTAGGCCTAGGACTTGTCCACCATTGCTATAAAACTTGCACGACATGCACAAGAACAGGTGGCCACCGTCACTGCAAGGGAAAACAGTGACTCGGTGGCCCAAGTCTCTCCAACGGTCCCTGGTCCAAACGAGACTGTCCAGGGCACGAGTTTCCAAGAGGCTTGGACAACGCCCTCGACCCACGGAGACGCACGCGGCAGCGCCAGCACGAGCCATGTTGGGGCCAGTCGTGGACGAGCTCTAAAACAGGAGTCACAGAGGCTGGCAACGGCGGGAAACGCTTCAATCCTCTGAACTCAAGTTCCGGCCAAAGTGGCAAGAGCTCTGCACCCGCAAGCAAGACCGCTCGCGATACTTTGACCTGATGATTCAAAATTTCGTGCTCTGAAGTCTGAAGGAGGCACATCAGGGCGCATAATTACCAGCTCCCTCTTTAGCAAACACATCAGCATAACAGTTCCCTTTGCGCAGAAACCTTTCACGCTCCGAGATACCCTCTTCGTGGAGGTCTCTGTGGGCGTCAACCTTGGAGATCGACTCAAGGTTGGTCCAAACAAATTCTCGCCTGGATGATCTGTCCTGCGTGCTGTCGCTTGGCGCTGATCCCATCGGCAGGACCTAGATTCATCAAATGAACTACACATTAGCACAATCAGAATAACAGTGGGCGGGGCCTTCTGTCTGAACAGAGGTCCAAGCAAAGGCCCAAAACTCAGCTCCTCGGGGGTCTGAGGCCACGGAGCCCACAGAGGACCTTTGAACCCCCCGAGGCGCTCGCGCGACCTAGAGACCATCACCGCGGCCCAACCAGCCCGAGATAACTCGCGAACAAAGTGCCTGCGACACGAGCCGCCCATAGAAAAAGGCGCCCCCAGAGCCCAGTAGAAGGAGGGATGGAAGGGGGCAGCAGCAGGATTGGCAGGGTCGGGAAGGGCGCCCGCGAACCATTCCAAACTCGCACCACCATCAGCGAGCGTCGGAGGGGCGTAGTCTCCAGCACAGCATCTCTGACATCCTGCGCGCAGGGGCACGCGTACAGCCTGTGGAACAAGGAGTCGCGGGCCGCGCCCCACAACCCGCACCGGTCGCTAAACTCGTAGCCTGCCGCCGCGACGTCGCTCGCAGTCCAGCGCGCCTTGGTGGCCCGAGCTCGAACCCAACCTTCCGTTTGTCCCGATGCCTTCCTGGAAGACAGGGGCTGACCACGCCCCAGCAAAGTCTGGAAGCACAGCCGCACTTGCCCCCCTTTCCAGACCCCTCAAAACCGCTTCCTTGCAGGACAGCTTGACCAGCTTAGGGGGCGAAAGGGCGAGGGAAATCCCACGGCCAAAACCATCGGTAATAGTGCGCAAATTCGGCATGTTCCAGCCAAGCCTGTAGAGAGACATCCTAAGCGCAGGGATCGGCCCCGAGACAGAGGACCAATAATGTCTATCCGAGGAAAAAAACGTTTGCCATCCTTCTCTAAGCTCCGCCCAGCTAATGGTCCAAGGGGAAGCCTGGGCGCGCTGGGCCCCAGCCTCTTTGGCCAACCGAATGATGGGGGCACAGCTACCGCGCCACGTGGGATCATCCGGGAGCAGACACAAGACACTGAGCGATCTCCACTGGGCTCTAGGCTTCACCGTGGACATGCCCATACGCCTGAGGTCTAGCAGCTCTCGGTCCGAGACCCCGTGCAAATCAGAGCCATGGGCGGCCCCAGCAAGGGGCCCAGCGGCGAAAATACGTAAGCACTTGCGCCCCAGGGCCGCGGCGAGGCCCTCCAGGCGCTTGGTTTTCCACAGAGCCGCCGCAGCTCGAGCCCTCAACTCAGCAGATCGGCATTTGCCTCTCAGCGGTCTGCCCGAAGTAAAATCCGAGCCAAGGTTGGTCACCCGAGAGCAAGCTGGGCCGACAAGGGGGCCTGGCTCTTGTGTCAAACGCGTTGAAAAATCAAGAGAATTACAGACCAGGCCAACTTTGTCCACCGCCAGCTTGCACTCGGGCGTGCTCGCGATGACTCGGTGAAGCGCCTTGGCTCCGGCAGTGGGAGTAGCTGCGACCACCTTGGCTGGTCCAGCGCAGCTAAGGCCAAGGTCCTCCACGCGAGCGTCGAAGTCGGCACTCTTGCCAGGGGCCCTTGGGATAAGGCCTCCATCGCAAACGCACGGATCATACTAGTCGCAAGTGAGCATCCACCCAGCCACCAGGCCCTGGGCCACGAAAAAACGGCCCGGGGCGACGCCCCCCAACGCAAAGAACCCGGCACAAGGGTACGCCAGAATGGCCAAGCGTGCCAGCTGGAGCGGAACACGATGCTTCTGCCACTGGTGCCAGAGAAACCTCAGGTCGATATGCTCATAGCACTTCCGAAGATCAAAAAAAATGGCAGCCGAGGTGTCTCCTCGCCTGGTCCCCGCTTCAGCTATGGAGGCTTGCCTCCAAACAACGTCCCCCGCCCCCGTGCAGGCCCCCGAGGCCCAGTCTCTGCGGGAGTGATTCAGCTCCCACAGCAGCGCTTAATGCCCACGGGCACGACCCCAAACGCGGCAGAGGAAGGGGAAAACTCCCATCGGTCGGAATTCCCCCGTCGGATTGGCCAGAAGGGCCATGAGGGCCCAAGACAGCTGACGGGGGAGGGGCCCAGTGGCCCCCCGCGCAGCGAATCACAACGCAAGAGCCCTCAGAGCCTCATTGGGGAGTAAGCTGAAGTGGCGGCAATGAAAACCATCGACACTGACCGCAGAGCCAGGCCGATACTTCTTAGAGACAGCTCGAATCTCAACAGGCCCCAAAACACGGGCATGCGGCAGAAGGTCGTGTCCAACTCCATCCCCCGAGCCCGAGCCCCAAATGGCAGCGAACTTGTCGCCCTCAGCCCGAAGCAACGAGACGGGGTCGCAAACGGTGGTCCCACAACGAGACAAAGTGGTAGTAGGCTTCCATGGCTCTGGGTCCCTGATAGCTTTCTGCACGTTGCGACCTCCAGCATAGATGCCCTGTCTCACCCACTCGTGCCACTCTTTCAGCGACTCCGTCGCTGAGGTGGCCTCGGCAGTGGAGGGCGGGCGCAACTTGAGCGACTCATCCTGCAAGGTCGATTCAGAGAGGTTGCACCTAACAGCTCGCAACCGGTTGCACAACCACTGAACGGCGCGCAAGGCAGGTTGCTTCTCTCTACCCGCGGGTTTCAGGACAGACTTGTAAACTTGAGGCCGCTTGCCCCTCATCCTCAGAATTTTGAAATCGGATCCCAGGGCCAGCGCCAAATCCCTCTCCGCAGAATCCGCCCAAACCTTGTAACCAGGATTGAGGCGTCTGCGCGCTTTAATCCCATCCCCGGCTCCCACCACCCCAAAAGCTTCTTCGGCCAAGCTAGGGGCGGCGTCCCAGGGGCCAGGCCGAGGGGCAGGGCCAGAAGGCGCCAATGCAGGCAACGAATGGGGGCTGGCGGAAGGCGAGGGCCCTGAGATCTCCGAGGGAGCTACGAAAGCGGATCGACACAGGACGGCGAGGGGCGAGGCTCATGTCATCTTCAACTCCGACAAGTTTCAAGCAGAGGCTCAAGGCCTCGGAAACGACAAAATAGCCAAATCGATCAGGAGCCCCCTACTAGGGAAGTGCGCGTGCCCCTCAGGAACCACCAGCGAGGCTCTGAGACGACTGGCAAAGCTAGAGGACTCCACGACCTCAGGGCCCATGTTCCAACCAGCTCCTGCAGTGACCTCGCAGCCTGAAGAATCCCAAAACTCCCCCACAACCCGTAAAATCTCGATGTTAGAATCGGAGAGGCCTTCGCTGTGGACGGGGTAGAGGCTGCATATGCACATCGGGACGCAACCTGGCACGTGCACCATGGTCGCCACAGCTCTGCCAGCACATAAAGTAACGCGATCCCCCGCTTCAAAAAAGCCGAGGCCATCGCGAACACAAACGCATGCTCCTGAAGAAACACCTCCTCCTTCCCCAGTTACTCCAAGAGCCCGCGAGGTTTTCCAGCCCAGGAACTTGGATGGTTTCCTGGCTTGGTCAAGTGCCCCAGAATCCGGCAGCCGATGCTCCTGCGCGATGGCCACGTGGGCCTGCGAGGTGGCGAGGTAATATTTCAGGGTGTCCCATGACATGGCGTTGACAGTGGTGACCAAATGCCCCTCGTCAAGCCTGGTCGCGCAGTCAGTGGCCGCGCCCTGGGCAGCCGGGGTTCGAGCTGAGGTCGCTGGCAGACCTTCATGGGAACGCATGCGAGACCGGGCCCTTGCCGAGCTCGCACCAGAAAAAAAAAGGCATCGGATTGCGGCAAGCGCGCGACTGGCTGCTCCACCATCGGGGTCTCACCAGTCTCCACACCGCGCGGCTCCCCGACCGCGCCAGGCAGAGGCAAAGAGGAGATGCGAGAGGCTCCTAGGCTATCTGGGGGCGCCCGAATTACACAAGGCAAAAGAAAGGCTTCAAAAGAAATTCCGACCGCAGCATGGCCGAAGGTACCCTTGAAGCGCCTAAAGAACCGAATCCCTGAGGCCTGAGACCTGGAGCCAATCGCAGACACTCTCGGGGCTTAAAAAATGAAAAAGTTCCCAGGAGGGCTTCAAGCCTGGATCCACACTCTCAGATACTTGCCCCCTGTCACGCGCACGCGACTGTGGCAGGGGGCGAAGATTCCTCGAGAGTCTGGTCAACCCTGGCTCGAATGTCCCCAGAGGCGGCAGCGTCCTCGGCTGCCGAGGCCGACAGCGCAGAAACAGAGGCACCTTCAGAAGCCGCCCCAGGTTCAGCAGGAGCCGCGCCAGCAACCTCACCTGCACCAGCTCCACCTGCAGCAGCTGCTCCTTCAGCGACCTTACGCTTCTTGGCAGCAAGCCGAATCCGATGTGCTTCATGCTGGCCTCGAAGTTTTTTGGCATGGTCCGCCACCTGCGCAAACAAGTCCCTCGCCAGCTTCGTGACTCCTGAAGACAGTTCCTCCCTGCGCCGCTGGAACTGATCCACGTCGCTCGCCTCGATCTCGGCCTCCACTAAAATATCATCCAGTATGTGACTGCAGTCAATGAACTTGGAGAGGTCCACCGAGCCAGCAACCAGATCCTCAAGCTTGAATGAACCGACCGTGGCCTGAGGTCCCCCCCCCAGACTTGTGCGAGCCCTGCAATGCAGCGAGCGAGGCCTTGTAGTCAGCGTCCGCCTGGTCGACTTGGTCTCGAACCGTGCGCAGTGTGGGCTCTTCCTGTCCAAGCTGTCCACGTAAGCGCGCCACCTTACTGAGAGTCTGTTCCATCTGCTTCTTGAACCGCCGAACGTTAGAATGAGTCTGCTGCATGCGGGCGTGATCCGAAATAACGACAGGCTTTGCGGTCGCCTCAAGATGACGCGCCATGTTCAGGTACTTGGTAGCCGCTCCATGGTCCCCCGCTTTTTGGAGCGACTCGACCAGAGACTTGGCCTCTGAGGCGGAGATGGACGGCACTGGTCCCACAGGAAGTGGCGGGGCACCTCCCCCAGAAGCATCTCCCCGCTGTGCATCATCATGACGAGCCAGCGCATCCGACATGGAGGGATCTCCTCCGAAATATCATTTACCTTTGCCTTTGCCGTTGCCAAGAACACCACCTTTGCTGTTGCCACCGAACGAGCCCTTGTTGCCCACGCCCTTGGGGCCGAAGCCGTTCCCGTACCAGTAGCCAGGAGGACCAGTGAGCGCCCAGCGCCCATGGACAACATGGCCAGCAGCAGGAGGCAAAGACGGTAGGAGCACAGGCACAGTTCTTGCAGTACTCGGCGCTGGTACTGTTCTTCTTGCAACCGCAGCTGGGGCACACCATGCCCTTTGGCCCACCACGACGACTGCCTTTTGCCTTTTGTGACCCATGGCTCCTCAGCTCCTTGCGACTTGATCCAAGGCGCGAGCGAGAAAGAATGGGAAGGTGCCATCGCACTGCAAAAGTAAAGCGGTGAAAGAGAGAGTTCCTTAAACGGGACGTCTTGAGATATGAGCCAGGCGGGCGGACGCCTGGGAAAGCATTGGGGGCCGAAAATCCCCCTTGCCACAATGCCAAGCCCTGAGCGAAACACTACGGACTTGAGCCAACATGGCTACGGAGTTCTTCTCCTCCTCCTCCTCCTCCTCGTCCTCCTCCTCCTTCTCATCCTCCTCCTCCTCCGCCTCCTCCTCCTCCTCCTCCCCTGCCCTTCCTCCTTCTCCTCCTCCTCCGCCTCGTCGGCCTCCGCCTCCGCCTCCTCCTCCTCCTTTTCCTCCTCCTCTTCCACTTCCTCCTCCTCCTCCTCCTCCTCTTCCTCCTCCTCCATTCCCTTACAAAGAAATATTTCCTGTCGCACCCTGAGGCCTGTCGAAAGGGCGGTCCGGGCGTTTCGCCTGACACTTCCTCACCACCTATGACCCTGAAGCTTAAACATTGGCAACAGTTTCAGACATGGAGGGCAGGTCGTTTTCAACATGCGGTTCTCGACTTAGCACTGCACACATTCTCTTTGAACATTTGTAGAAATTTCACGGATTGAGGGTGGGTGGTTTTCTACATGTAGCTCTCGCCTTAGCGCCGAAGAGATTCGTTCAAACACTTTGCAAGGGTTTCACGGATTGAGGCCGAGTGGTTTTCTAAATGTGGCTCTCGCCTTAGCGCCGCGCACACTCATTGCAACATATTGCAAGGGTTTCACGGATTGAGGGCGAATGGTATTCAAAATGTGGATCTCGCCTTAGCGCCGAGCGCATTCGTTTCAAACAATTGCCAGTGCTGAGGGCGGGTGGTTTTCAAAATGTGGCTCTCACCCTAGCGCCGTGCGCATTCGTTTTGAAATTCACATGCGTTTTACGGATTGAGGGCGGTTCGTTTGCGAAATGTGGCTCTCGCCTTAGCGCCGCGCACATTCGTCTTGAACGCTGCAAGAGTTTCACGGATTCCCAGGGTCAACGCTCCAGAAATTGTGTTTGGACAGGTTCAAGATTATGAGGGTGCAACAATTACTAGTTACGCTGTTTCGCAGTGTTGAAATCCCAGGGGTGGCGTTTTAACGCGGTTCAGAATCGTCAAGGCGCAATAATCAGGTTGATCCGTGGCGTTGGAGTCCCGAGAATAATGCTTTGGCATGCTTCACGGTCTTCGAACGGCTGTCTTCCAACGAGGCAGTTCCCACAGAGGAAATGAACCCTTGCATGGGGGCTTGTGAAGAGGGAGCTTGGAGGGAGGGCTGACGCCAACATCGTTGATGTCTCTTGGGCTTACACTCCTCCTCCTCCTCCTCCTCCTCCTCCTCCTCGTCATCCTCCAGCGCCACCTCGGTCAGGGCGTGCCTGCGCGCCCGCGAGCCAGCACCAGGAGGCTGCCCTCGGCCTCTACCCCCCCCCTTCCTCCCGTTCCCTCCTCCGCCGCGGGACGGAGGCACCACCTTGGTGCCTCGTGGCCAGGCGCCCGCAGCGCCCTCGCGGCACGGCCGCCGAGCGGCGAGCCCAGGCGCAGCGGGCGTGTTGTGCAGCACCTGCTCTCCGGCTCCACCGAGCTGGCGAACCACCTCGGCTAGGCCGGCAGCCGGCCTAGCCGCCTCGGGGCTGCCCTGCAGGTGGCGCTGGCGCGGCCCCCGCCAATGGCTGCCACGGCCGCTGTTGCAAGCGGCGCTGAAGCCAGTCGCGGCCAGGGTGATGGCGGCGATCCTGAAGACGGGTATCACCGTCGAGGCGATTCTGAAAGTGATCGCCATGCTGCTGCGGGACCTGTTGCCCCTCCGGGCCCCCGTCGGGAAGCCCGTCCTGCTGCTGCTCCTACTCCCGCCCCCGCGCGTCTTTGCCAGGGCGCGGGCCAGGGCCAGGGCACGGACACGAGCAGCCAGCGCGCCCTGCAGCCCAAGATCCCCCGAGGCTCTCGCCGCCTGGCCTTTTGAGGCGGGGCGTCACGCCTCCCGTTGGGCAAGCGCCAGGCGCACGGGCGAGAGCAACGGCACGGGCCACGGCAGGAGCTGTGCAGGGCCTGTCCGCTGAGCGGCTGGCGCTGGCCCGCCCCGCCGCCGCTGCCGCGGCCTGCGTGCCGTCAGTCGTCGCTGTCGTGTCTTCGTCGCGTGGTGCCCTCTTTTGGGGCCTGGCCCCCAAGAAGGGCCTCGCCACGTCTTGCGTCTTGAGCCTTCGTCATCGTCCCCTCCATCACTCCTCCTACAGTCGAGGCGTTGACCTAAGGAACCCTAAATCAGGAACGAAGCCCCTTGTTCCCATAAGTTAAACTTCGATTTCCCATTGAAGCCCTAAGCAAAACCCAAGGCGAACTACAAAACAACTAAGGAACACCGAGCCCCTCCCCAACGAAAAGGGTTCCTTCTTCAGTGCCCCGACTGTACCCCGCATCTCACTCCTCCTGGCCGTTGGCGGCGGGATCCTCCAGGTGGTCTGGGTGGACGATGATGTTCATGGCGGCGATCTCGGCGCAACGGAACTGCTCCGCGGAGACGCACGCGATGTTGACCTTCCCTCCCAGGCCATCAGGAGTGCGCGGGGTGAGGACAGCCAGGGAAGGAAGGGGGGGGGGTTCTCCGTGTCAAAAGTAGGAGGGGCAAGGAGGATGACGAAGAGGTAGGTGGAGGAGAAGGAGGAGGAGGAGGAGGAGGAGGAGGAGGAGGAGGAGGAGGGGGAGGAGGAGGAGGAGGAGGAGGAGGAGGAGGAGGTCCAAGATAGCCCCTAAGGGGCCTAAGGGCCTTTTTTTGGCCCGTCTGGGGGCCCTTTTCGGCAGTCCCGGGTCCCTCTTGGCCTGTCATGGGGGGCGGAGCCCGTCTTAGGGGCCCTCTTGGGGCCCTCTCCGACCATGATCCTCCCGTGGCCCCCTCGGGGCTCCCTGGGGACACCATTGGGCCGTCTTGGAGCTCGCCTGTGCTGCTTGAATCTCTCTTCAGGCCGTCTTGGGGCCGTCTTGGGGGCCTCTTGGGCCGTCTGGGACCGACAATGGGCCTTTGGGGCCGTCGTGGCCGCTGTTAGGATTGAGTGACAGAGCGAATATTCCGAACAATAAGCATTTCCATTGGACATGTTAATGTTTTTTGCCCTTGGGGGCCATCTCGGCGGCCTCTTGGACCGTCTTGAAGGCCTTTGTGGCCGTCTAAGAGCAGTCTTGGGCTGTCTTGGAGCGCTCGTGGGCCGTCTTGAAGCCATCGAGTGCGCTCTTCAGCCACAATCCAGGCAACCTGGGCGCTTTGGGAACCTCTTGGGCCAGCTTGGGGGCCTCTGGGGGGGTCCGGGGCCCCTTCTGGGCCCTCTTGTAGCCCTGAAGGCCTCCCCGGGCCCCCATGCAAACCAAAGGTCGTGGTTCCGGGCCTTCCCCCGGCCTACACCGCTCTCTCTTTTTGTTGTTTCTCTCTCTCTCTCTCTCTGTTTCTCTATACATATATACACATATGCATATGCATATCCATTCATATACACATACACATACACATACACATGCCCATGCACATACACACATTAATGCATCTATATATACATATATAACTACAAACATACATACATGCACCCGTACATACATACATACATACATACATACATACATACATACATACTTACATACATCCCAAGCTATCTACACACATGCATGTGCATGTACATGTGCATATACAATTACACATACATATACACATATATACACACGCATAACCATAACCATAATCATGCACATACATATATACATATACATACACACATACACCTATTCTCTTTTTCTACGCAACGAATCGACTCCACCCCCTGGGATTTCCGGCAACCCTTTTCGTATTGCAACGTACATATGATTCTGCCCCATCGTCCATGCTGAATCTTATCTCATATCATCCCAGCCTAACCGGTATCGGCCCCCCCACCATCCCGTGCAAAAAAAACTATGCGCGCGCACTCGTTTGACACAAATCAGCATGTTCCAAAGATCCTTGGCGAAAGAATCAAACGAAGTCCACACGCGCACGTCGTCGCGCGCATACCGGAATCCTTCAAAAATCTGCGGCTTCGTGGGAATTTCAAAAATCGAGTGTTCCAAAACACCTATAAAAACACCGGATCTCGCAACACGGATGCCAACAACCAAGAAAAGCTTGTGCGCGCGCGCTCTTGCGAACTCTTGAACAAAACCTGTGTTTTTTCATCTGTTCCATAAAGTGCTACCAAACAAGCTTCGCGCGCGCATGTCGAAATCGTTCGAACGCCTTTGCGCGCGTGCTGGGGTGGCACGATCCGCGTCAAATAATACCATGCGGGCCACTCTCGCGCGTCTGCCGCGCGCGCATGTCGAACTTCTTCCAAAACCTCCATCACCGACGCGATGACGCCGTCATCGTCGTCGGCGTTATCAGCATCGGCACCGTCACTGGCTGCCCCGTCGTCGTTGTCAACGTCGTCACCAGCATCGCTACTAGCATCATCGTGTCTACCGTTGTCGACGTTGCCATGATACCACGCCCGCCCAAGTCGCCGACTCGCACTGAAGTGCCCGCTGGGATGTGCCGAGCGGTCAGCGCCAGCGCGTTCGCGTCGGTCGCGCCAAACTAGCTGGCTGCTGCGCGCGCGAGCATGCGCAGGTCAGTGCGGCCGCAGAAATGCACCAGCCAACACCCAGCACTCATCGCAATCGTTTCCGCATGGGTTTTGCAAACCAAATTGCGGGTGGGTGGGTCGGATGATTGCGCGAGTAGTGGAGTCGACAATTTCAAGTTCGGCAAGGTGAACATACACCTATACACAGGCCGTACACATATAGCATTTCCTGTGTATATATATATGTATGTCTGTATATATATATATGCCCATCCCCATACATACATACAGACATACACACATACATACATACATACACGTAGACATATGCATAGGCACTCAAACACCTATCTATAGGCAAATCATATACATGTACGCATACATACACACATATACACTTATATACACACATATGTGTATATGTGTGTAACTGTATATATACATAAATGTATACATACATGTGTGTATGTGTATACGTACATAAATATATGTACGGGTGTGCATGTGTATATGTATATATTCATAGAGATATGAATGTTGGAGCCCACCACACGAAGATGGCCCCCGAGACAGCGGCAGGCCCCGAGCGGTGCCTAAGATGTCCGCTGATGCCCTCGAGAAAACCCCAGGAGGCCATCAAGCGACGTCCAAGACGCCTCCAAGAGGCCTCTCAAGAGACCCCAAGAGACCCGGGCCGCTGAGAGGCCTGGGCCTCTAAGACACCTCTGGTCCACGACCCAGTCACGGTGGCGGGATGGGCCGAATGCTTCCAAGGAGGTCGGACAATCATCGTCATCATCATCACCATCATCACCACCACCACCATTATCAGCATCACCACATTCGACTCCTTGAGAAAATCGTTTCCTGCGAGCGTTGGGCAGGTCTGCGTACACCTGTGGATGATTAGCTGGTGCGCTACAGTTTGGCACCATCAGCTTTGATTGCAGGTTCGCTGATCCAGGCAGCGATCGTATACAGTCAAAAGTACGTTTCACTTCCGAGTGGTATGTACGGTATGATCAAGAAATCATCATCATCACCACCAGCATCATCATCATCACCACCACCACCAGCATCATCATCACCACCGGCATCATCAGGATCATCATCATCATCATCATCATCATCATCACCACCACCACCACTATCATCACCACCACCACCATCATCATCGTCGTCGTCATCATCATCATCAGCATCAGCATCAGCATCATTATCATCATCAGCATCATCATCAGCATCATCATCAGCATCAACATCATTATCATCATCAGCATCATCATTATCATCATCATCACCATCATCATCATCATCATCATCATCATCATCATCATCATCAGCATCAGCATCAGCGACAGCACCATCATCATCAGCGGCGGCGGCGGTGGCAGCAACATCAGCAGCAGCAACATCGACGCGCTGCAGTGTCCCGGGTCGGCGCGCCGAGATCACGGCGCGACTCACGCAGGGGCGGAGGCGGAGGAGGAGGAGGCAGGAGGCAGGAGACAGGAGGCAAGAGGAGGAGGCAAGAGGAGGAGGAGGCAAGAGGAGGAGGAGGAGGAGGAGGAGGAGGAGGAGGAGGAGGCGAGGAGGAGGAGGAGGCGGGAGGAGGGCAGGAGGAGGAGGCAGGAGGACGAGGCAGGAGGAGGCGGCAAGAGGAGGAGGAGGAGGCGGAGGGGAGGCAGGAAGAGCAGGCAGGAGGAGGAGGCGGAGGAGGCAGGAGGAGGGGCAGGAGGAGGAGGAGGCAGGAGGAGGAGGCAGGAGGAGGAGGAGGCAGGAGGAGGAGGCAGGAGGAGGCCGCCTCTTCCTCCCCCCCCCTTCCTCGTTCCGTACCCCCCGCCCCCCCTCTGTCACCAGCCGCGCCCTCGCAGGCCCTGGCCCTCGCCAGAGCTCGTGTGCCGCAGCTTTCTTCCGCGTCGCGCGGGCCCCCAGAAATCTGGACCTGCGCCCCAAGACCGGCTTGTGATCTGCGGCGGTTTTCCCGTCGTCGGGCAGTCCACGATCTCCAGTGAAGATGGACCTGTCCCCAAAGCCTGACTCTTCCACGGCGTCAAAGCTCCGGGGGGCTGCACAGACCCAGAACTCCGACGTCGTGGTTGTTTCGCAGCGGCCCCCCCCCCCCGAGGTCTGGACCTTTTCCCCCAGATCGGCTTCTCATCCTGAGCCGTTCTTTCACGGCCACGGGGCCTGCCAAAAACCTCCCACCGCGACTTTCTTAATCAGCGAAGCTCGGGGGCGGCCAAGAGGGGGGCGTCCAAGAGGGGGGGGCGCAAATCATGGCTGGCGGCACGTGCGCGGCCCAGGGGGGAGGCCAGGGACGTCATGAAATCAGAAGAGGCGCCATGACATCGGAGGAAATATCACGGCCCACGCCATGATATCCTCCCCCCCCAGTCATCGCCCCCCCTCCTGGCCGTCCCTGAGAAGCTTTAGAGAAGGGAGGAGGACGCGGACACCACCAAGCAACCATCTCGATGAGGCCAGCGCGCAACCACAGAGGAGACGACGAGAGGAAGTGGGCTCCCTGCGTGGCCGCGGCGTGCCCTGACGGACGGGTTCTCTCTGCGACAGAGCCTCGGCGGCAGGCTTCTGCTCCTTCTCGGCCTCCACGCAGAGGCCGTCACTGGGCTTCGGATGTAACTCCAGGGAGATTAAATTCTGACTCTGCCCTGGTCCGAAATCCGGCCTAATCCAGCTTATCCCCGTTGAATACCTCTTAATCCCGCTTGATCCGCGCGGATGCAACTCCTGGGAGGCCAAATTCTGACTTCTTTGCCCTGGTCCGGAATCCGGCCTGACCTGGCTGAATCCCGTTGAATACCTTTTAATGCCGCTTGATCCGCGCGGATGCAACTCCTGGGAGGTCAAATTCTGACTCTGCCCTGGTCTGGAATCTGGCCCAACCTGGCTTCATCCCGTTGAATGCCGCTCAATCCCGCTTGATCCGCGGCCCAATCCGACCCAGCAGCCCCCCAAGTGGGCTTCATTCTCCCTAGTCCTTCCGACGAAGACCTCCCAGCATTTGGGTGACCCAAAGGGGGTCCAGCTGAAAGGGCATGGTGCCATAGATTTGGGGCAATTGTATTGCAAATGTTCTGCGCCGGAGAACGGTACTGCACTGTCTTGCAAGCAGTGTAAGGCACGCGAAAGTACAGCAAAACATACGTCTGGGCCCCGAAAGGTGTAGCACGCCCCACATGTGTGTTGCTACCCCACAAATCGACTGCACCACCCCCTGGTCGCTGGACCCCCATGTTGGGTCAACCCGACAGCAGCTGCCTCCTGGCCCTGGCCCTCGCCCGCGCCCCCGTACAATTTTCTAAACAAAAAAAAACTTTAAACAAAATCTAAAACAAAAATGTACATGCAGGCGGCGGCGGGCCCGGCCTCCTTCCAGACTTTCGGGTTGTTGGCCTTCCTCGCCGCCTCGACCGCCTGGGTGTACTCCCCGAGCTGCACGAGGCCTCCGCCGACCGCCGCGGGGGGGGGGGGGCTGCTTGCAACGATGGGCCTGAAGTGATGGGCCTGGAGGGGGGAAGGAGGTGGAGGACGAGGAGGAGGAGGAGGACGAGGAGGAGGAGGAGGACGAGGAGGAAGAGGAGGAGGACTCCCTCCCCCTCCAGCTTGCGGTGGTGGTGGTGGTGGAAAACAAGCCCATCATGCAAGAAGCCCAGGGCTCCGACGTCGTGATCTCTTCAAGTCGAGGACCCTTAGAACGCGTGTTAGCGTTAAGTCGGGCCTGCCCTCCTACAGGATGATTTTGGACGAAAAATGAAACATAGTCAAAAAATGCCCCAAATGGTCAACAGAATGCTCCAAACATCGTCCCCGGACTATCTTGTGACTATTTTTGAACATTCCCCCTGTAGAGGGACAGACCCGACTTAATGTTAGCGCCAACGTGTGCTGGTCCATCGAGGCCCTTCAACGCGACGCACGTGGCGTAACGATGGCCGACACAGGCCGAACGGGGTGAACACACGTTAGGCTACAACACACGCCCTGAGGATCGTCGATCAGAGCGTGGGCAGGATCAGTCAGCATCGGATCCGGAAGTCGGATCGCATCGGCGTGTGCCCCGGGTCGGGCCGCAGCGGCACGGCGTCGACATCGAATCCCAGACATGCGACGCCCTGATCTTTGCGGAAGTCCCGACCCTTTCTCCGGGACCGTTTTTTTCGTCCCGCGTCGTTTTTTGGCGGTCCCGAGGCCCGGCGAGGGCCCCCCCTCGGGGCCGCAAATGGCCACATTGAACCTCCCGTCCTGATGTTCTCACGACGCGATCGTGTCTGGGATCGGATCGGCGGCGCCAGCATGCACGACAGCCTCCGAGGGCGGCCCAGGGGCAGGCGCCTGGAGGCTGCGGCGAGCGGGGGGCCACGCGCCGCCCGCACGGGCTTCGGAGGCGGGGCCATGCCACCTCTCGCCCTGGCACGAGTCACAGATCTTTGACCATTGATTACCTTGTAGAGCTCTTCGGCATCGATGAGCTAGAGGACTTCTGGCGCGGGTTGAAGCTAGTTGGTCGACCCGACGAGAAGAGACAATGTGACAACTTTGGGTCGGTTTTCTGAAGATTTGAAAGATATTCGACCATTCATTTTGAGGAACTAGACTGGAGATGTTTGGTAGGCGTCGGCCTCCCAGGGTTGAGTCGCGCCTGTGCCTCTTCAGGGGGGATATTGTTCCAAAGCAGCCCAAAAATGGTCGGGGGACGATGTTCTGAACCACGTTTGATCATTCTCGAATAGTTTTGACATTTATTTTCGTCAAAAAATCCCCCTGTAGGGGGACAGGCCCGACTGAATCCCAGGGGCCCTTTGCCTTGAAAAACCGACCCAGAATGTGAAGCTAGCTCCAGGGAAGGGGTCCAGACCTCTGGGGCTCACGCTGTGAAAAAAAACGGCGTCGGAGCCCGGAGGAGCTCCGAAAAAAACATAACTCCGACGTCGCGTTTGTTTTCAAAGCGTGGGCCCCCAAAGGTCTGGACCCTTATCCCAGACTAGCTTTTTGAGATTCGGGGTCACGGGCCCGCCGGGGATGGTCAGGGCCCCCAAGAAGCTGACAGTGGCCAACATTCTCCCGCCGTGATCTTCCCTGAGATCCGACGTTGCAAACAAAAAATGCAACATCGCAGAAAAATCACGCCCGGAGCCCAAAAACCCCAATCTTTCTGTGTCAGTTTTCTTTGGACGCCCGAGATGGGTACGGAAAGAATGGGCACAATGCCCACAACAAATTTTGTCCCAAACCAACAGCGGCCGCTGTTGGGCAGGCGGCCTTCTGTCTCGAATGAACACAGGCCACGGCGGCGTGGCAGGGAGTCCTGTTCAAAATGAACAAGATCCGCTCTTGGGCATTGTACCCATTCTTTCCGTGCCCATTTCGTTCGTGCAGATTTTCGAGCTGGATCGATCTGTGAGGGTCCCCGGGCCGGAAAAGTGAGCGCGAGCGCCCGTGGTGGCAAAAAATGCAGCGCCAGGATCTCAGGGTCGTCACGACGAGGGGAGGTCTGGGGGAACGGCGGGGCCTTTCTCCCTTCCTCCCCCGGCCTCCTTCGGTGGGCGCGATCCCTCGGACAGAGGAGGAGGGAGAGGAGGAGGAGGAGGAGGAGGGGGAGGAGGAGGAGGAGGAGAAGGAGGAGGGAAGGAGGAGGAGGAGGAGGAGGAGGAGGAGGAGGAGGAGGGGGAGGAGGAGAGGAGGAGGAGGAGGAGGAGGAGGAGGAGGAGGGGGGAGGAGGAGGAGGGGGAGGGGGAGGAGGAGAGGAGGGAGGAGGAGGAGGAGGAGGCAGGAGGAGGAGGAGGAGAAGGAGGAGGAGGAGGAGGGCACGAAGCTCGGCGGGCAGTTCGATCTGCAGCCTCGCCTATGCTTGCATGCGATGCAGCGCGGCCAGTCTCACACCAGCCCGCTGGTCAGCTCCCGCGGCCAGGCCCACGTCCACGCGGTGCTTCTGGATGTGGTAGCACTGGCACCTGAGGCCGACGGCGTAGATGCACTCCGTGATGGGGCGCTTCGCGTGGTACTGCTCGTCGCCGAGGCCGAGGAGCTCGGGGCCGTTGCCCAGGGAGTCCGCACCCGCCTCGCCCGCGACCATCGCCCTGAGGATCGGGCAGGAGATGTAGTGCTCGAGAGCGTCCTCCTCTTCACAGCCGAAGAGGCAAGGGCGCGCGTCGATGACGGCGCTCATGCGACGCGAAGTCGTCCAGCCGTTGACTGCGGTGCGCATCCACGACCACATCCAGGCAGGGCGGACCTCCGTCAGCTTGCTACGCAGCGGAAGCCACCTCTCGCGCAGCACAGGCAACGGGCACTCGACGCCCCACCTGCGCAGCCGTCGGTGGATGGTGGCCACCAGGTCCTCGGGGTACAGCGAGCCACGGAGCGACGCGGCGGCCATGGCCTGGCGCTTGGGTTTCCTGGGAGGAGTGGCCGCAGCCGCCGTCTTCGTCTCCAGGGTCATCGCCGACTTCGCAATCTTGAGGTACCTGCTCGGGATCGGGACCGCGATCACGTCGAGCGTCGGTCTGGGGATGTCCAGCTGGGCGTAGGTGTCCGAGATCATGGCGTAGTTATGCACGATCGCCCTCCGCGTCCGCCACCACGGTGGAGACCAGTTGCCCTTGATCACGTCAATCAGCGGGACATGCTCCACTGCAGCTTCATGCAGGTGGTGAAGGTGGGCTTCCCATCCGCGCACCGTGTTCTCCGCCGAGCGCATCATCGCCGCGAGCGTGTAGGGGAAGAGGCCAATCGGCGACGGGGAGCCACGCCACGCGCTCATCGATAGGATGTCAGCCTTGCGCATGGACGAGGGCGGCAGCCGCAGCAGGCGGTGCAGGGAGGTGAACTCGACCTTCCAGATGGCAGGCACGATGAAGTAGAACTGCGCGAGGTACGAGAGGCACGGCAGCGCGTTGATGTTGCACGCGCGGGCCGCAAGGCTGGTGGCCATGCCTGTGCGCGCCAGCTCCCAGCAGCGGGTCCACCATTTCCCCGCCGCAGCCTTCCAGATGCCGAAGTCCGCGACGCCTGGGCCCAGGTGAGTCCCCAGGTACTTGGCCGTGGAGTCGACGCGGAAGCCCAGCCAGCGGGGGACCTCCTCAGCGAGGAAAGACTTGACGTTCAGCAGTGTGTCCTCCGTGAGCTCCTCCCACAGCGGGACCAGCACGCACTTGTGCAGGGCCAGCTGCAGGTTGAAGGCGAACTCTATAGAGACGAAGGTGTGGTCTATGCTAGGGAGGGCGACAGCGTTCTTGATCAGCATCCCGAGATCGTCGGCGCAAGCCGTGAGAAATCCATGCTCAGCAATCGCAGCCAGCAGCGCACGGATGGGCGCATCCATGGCCAGGCGCCAGACCGTGCCAGAGAGCGGGCACCCTTGCATGATGCCGCACAGGAGCGCGAACAGCGGCTCGAGCTCCGCACTAGTGCCCTCGGCGCGGAAGGAGCTGAAGGCGAGGCAGTTGCTGTAGAGCGCCTCGATCACGTTGCGGAAGCCCAGCGGGACCCCGAAGCGCGGGAGGACCTTCTCGATAACTTCCCTGAAGAGCGAGGGGAAGGCCTGGCGGAAGTCGAACGACAGGAACATGGGGCGGCGGGTCGCAGCGCCAGGAAGGAGGCCCCCCCTACGGCATTCTGCGTCCAAGAGCGGGATGTGGTCGACGAAGCGCCGCCCAGCAGTGAAGCCCTTCTGCTCGGGTGAGGTAGATGATGTGGCGATGGGCTGGAGCCCTCGATCTGCGCAGGCCGCAATCAGCTTGGCGTCGCAGTTCTTCAGGGAAAGGGTGCGCACCGTGGAGGCCGTGCGCGTGCAGGAGTCGGGGACGTCGTCCTCCTCCGTGCCCTTCGGCACGCAGATGAAGATCGACCAGTTGAGGTCGAGCGGGGCTACGCCGTCGTTGAAGAGGGCTTCCATGAGCCCCTGGAGATGCTGCAAGGCTCCAGGGCTGCGGCGCCATGCTGCGTACGTGAGCTGATCTGGTCCCGCAGCGCTCGGCGGTGCCCTACTGGCCGCCCGTTCCAGGTCGTGAAGAGCAGGTTGAGGAAGTTCCACCACAGGGTTCCTTGGTGCGTGCTTGTCCAGGAAGGTGTCCAGTGCCTTGAGCTGTTCGGGATTCGGCACCTTCGCAAAGATCTCACCCCAGTAGTTCGCCACAGTCGCCTTCATGCCCGCTGGGTCAGAGACCACGTGCTGCGCCACCTGCGAGTCCTTGGCGGCGCACGGTGCGGAATCCACGCGCAAGCCCGAGAGGATCATGCGGCGCCGCCGCGGGACCCAGAGCTGCGCATGTCTGGCGGCCTTGCGTTCAACCCTCCGCCAGGCTGCGCTGTCGCGCACGTTGGCCGTCCGAGCTGCTGCCTCCGCCGCCTGCCTTCGCAGGGAGTGCACCCGCTCGGCGATAGCGTCGAAGTTGGTGGCAAAGCTGTGGGGGTCCACGAGGCGCACGGTGCCATCGGTAATGTG